TGTCTCTGGTGAAGCCTCTCACCGCCCCTGAGCCTCTGGCCTGTACCCCAGTTCTGTATGAATAAATAAATAAATCTTTAAAAAAAAAAAACCTCCTAGGACATTAAGATAACAGAAGAATCTCATCACAATTTCTTAATTCTTTAAAAAAAAAAAAAAATAGAAGATGCCCAATTACATTTGGAATTTCAAGTAAATAACAAGTATTTATTGATTATGTCCTAAATACTGTATTTGAGATATACTAAAGAAATTATTTATTATCTGAAATCCAAATTTAACTGGTCATCTTGTATTTTTATTTGCTAAATTTGGCAACACTAAGCTAAATTCAGAGTCTAAGCCCAGAATCAGTTTAAATAAAAAAAAAAACTTCAGATTACTAACTGCCTACTTGAACTTTCAAATGTTTTCTATTCCTAGATTTTCTGTTGCTATATTCTATCTAATAGAATATCTCTCATTTCAAATTGGAATATCCAATACTGTCTGTCCAGATTACAATCTGTTACTTAATTCTCTCTCTAATGCCATTCAGAATGAATTTTCTGCTAGTACTCACAGCTAGAACTATGACTCTAAGGGCTACCTCAAATCCCTGAATAGTCCTGGTTTCAAAACCCGCCTGGCCCTAAGGAAAGTAGCTAACTGGTCCTGAGGAAATGAGCATGAGTAGTAACATTTTTAAATAAAATAAAATTTTTATTTAAAAATAAAATGCTTTGATGTATGTTACCACTTTATTAAAAGCTGCCTTTTTAAAAAATGCTATCTTTAATAAGAATGAGGGTAATATTAACCTCCAAGGGTAAGGAGTATTAAAATAACATTATCAAAGCATTAAAAAATTATATGGGCTAATATTTTGTTTCCAAAATTATTTCCTGCAGTAATTGCTAGTTACCCAAGAATACTAAAATGCAATCTCCCCCCAAAAAAATCATGTTCTTTTTCTATCCATTTTCTCATAATTTTTAAATATTAAGGTTAACAGCTTATGGCAATGACCAGAAGTACACTCAGCATTCTCACTGACAGACTTTTTCTTTTTTTTTTTTGAGCCCCTATGCATAAGCTTAAGCAGATGCCTCAGAACTTTGACATCACCCTTCTTTCTCATTTCATTCTATTTACCTTGGTGCTGACTCTCTTCCTACCGTAAGATTGAGCATTCCATTTGGTGCTTTATTTTTAAATTTACCTATCATTAAAACAGTGATTCCTGACTATTATCAACTGAATCCTTAATAATCCATAGCAAAATCATAAATTCATGATAATTATCGGCAGAAATTTCATTATAACATTAAAAATTCTTTGGAAGCATAATCACTGCCAAGCTAACCCAGATTTTAAACAGCTCATTTTCTTAACATCTTTTATATAACACAAATAATGCTGCCATGGTTTGCTATTAAATATAGAAAATTCATAAACGTGATTCTAAAAAAAAAAAGATGAAAGAGGAAGGAAAGAAAGGAGAAGGATAAAAAGGAATATAGAGAAATCTTAAGCACACTCACCTCCAACCACTCTTGCTTCTTTCAGTATTTGAAAGTGTTGGAATAGATTTAGACTCAGAATCTTGACTTCTCAGGGGCTGAGAAACTGAGTGTGGTGTTTGCCTTCCAAAGAAATATTTCTTATTAAGTATTAATATTTTCCAAATTAAGAAATGTAAAACATATATTGAAGAGTACTATTCAGCCAGTAATAGACATGCAAACTTACTGGTGTATATTTTTCCACATACCGTGAGTTTAATGTTTTCATTACAGATGGCAACTCTGGACTCATAGGTTCCCAAGCCCAATCTCAAAAGATATAAGTAACAAAGAAAATAGTAAGATAAGTAGCATTAAAAACAAATCACTTCATACTTTAATTTGGGTTGAAAGATTGAAAAAGAAAAGATTTTGAAAAGATGAACCCATTATTCAACAGCACTTTGCTATGGAATTTGTCACAGCCTGTTTAATAATCTCTTCCCCATTGTATCTTAAGGAAACAATAGTTTAATATGTATCTTTTCCATAATGAAAAAGCACACATACAATATTATGGCCCAGAACACAGATATGCATGGTGCATATGCTTATGCATGCAAGCATGTATGTGTTGTGTAGAAGAGAGAAAACATAAAATATCACCACCAATTCTTATCCTTTTTATGTATAATATACTCTGATATTTTATTCTACTCTATTTCTTTTTTTTCCCTTTAAATATTGGTTGTTTCCCAAGCTCAATAATGGATCAAGACAAAAATTTAAAAAACACTGATCTAGTCCTATCTCTTAAGCAATAGAAGAATTTTATATCTCTGACAGACAGTAAACCTGGTCAGAGTTTGAAAAGAAAATACACATTTTCTGTGGATCAGATTAAATTGTCTTTATTGTTCAAGGTCAACATTCATGCTACATGCAAGAATATTTTACATGGAGAGACATTTTTAAATGGCAGAGGATGACCAAATAAAGTCCAAATAAAAGTCCACATATGTATACCCATGTGGAATTTTTATTTTATCTATAAAGCTGGTAAAATATGAAATTCATTCTTCAAATTCCTCAAAAGTAGAAGAAAATAATTAAAGATTTAAAAGTAGATTAAAGTCTTTGACTGCATAATGAATAAAACTAACAAGTACTGATACAAATAAAGATATTTTCAGCTATTAAAAAAAAAAGGTGAACTACTGCCATTTGCAACAATATGAATGGAGCTGGAGAGGATTATGCTAAAAGAAGTAAAACAGGAAAATGACAAATAGTGGATGATTTTACTCAAATGTGGGCTACAGAGAAACAAAACAAAGGACTTACAAAACTAAATCAAATAAACACTAGCAATACAACTGCAGAATTGAGGGTACTGGGGGTGAAATGTAAAGTAGGAACAAAGTGGTTAGGAAGCTCAGAAGTCTGTGGTACAGGACTGTATGTGCATTGGTGGTGGTTGTGGTTTAGTGACTTACATATGAGGAGGTGTGAACCGCTTCCCCTAAATAATACAGAATTCTGTATACCAATGTCACCTCAATTTAAAAAATAATCATCTTAAAAAATAAAAGTACTGAGGGTCCTCCCTGGTGGCTCAGTGGGTTAAAGCACAGCATAGAGAATCTAAAGCCACTTCTGCACGAGTTCGATTCCGCCTGCCCCGGAGGTGACCACATGGCGTGGCAGACCTCTCCTGACCCGCCCGCTGCTCCCCTCAGCAGTGTACTTCGTCGATCTGCCTGTTCTGCTCCCCTCTCTGTCTCTGGTGAAGCCTCTCACTGCCCCTGAGCCTCTGGCCTGTACCCCAGCTCTGTATGCACAAATAAATAAATCTTTAAAAAAAAAAAGTACTGAAAGAAAAATAACTAAACAGATTTTAATTTACTAGTTGTGTTTAAAAAAATTTTTTTAATATATGTAAACAGCATGGACCAACTGTATTTCAGAATGTTTGCCTGTCCTTGCCTTCTTCCAGAGAGAAGTAAAAAGTCTATTAAGACCTTCCAGCACCCACACTGTGGAGTCAATTGTTTTAGTGATAAAAAGCCTAATCATATCTAAATGAAGATTTTAGTAAACTAACTTGAATGATGAGCTGATCCAGAGGCTCTCAATCTCTAGAATATGAATCTAGAGGTACAAAGGACAGTCAATGATAAGCTCTGAGAACTAGAACTAAAAAGTTATGTTAACTCAGCAAGGGCAATTTAGCTTATATGCTTGTTGAAGCTTTACAGAAGCCAAATGGATGAGAAAGTAAATACAACAAATGAAGGTTCAGTTAAGAATTAGAAATATGGACACCTATCCTTTCTATTACCTACTTTCCCCCTTTTCCTGTATATCTAATACATTTACCCCTCTTCCTTAAGAACATTAGTTTCTCCATTATGTACTGCCAATGTCTATGTCACAATATCTGTATGTATTTTGAAAAAAAAAAAAAAACCACTAACAATGTAGATTATTGCTTCAGTAGAACAAAGGTGACAAATCTAAGATACTCCATTGAAATGCTAAGCCACTCTTGTAGACAAGGAAACTAAAACTACTTTATTGGAATGTTCAGAAAGAGCCAAGTAATCCCTATATTTGGATAGTGAGAAGAAAAACTTTCTACAAATTACAGTAGTATTTTCTATAATGCAGTAGCTCTTTTCTGAAAATTTACTCATTTTCTTACCTGTTGGTAGAGAAGGCAAATCATAACTTTCAGAAACAGTACTGATACCTGGATCATTTTTAAATGGATTGGAAGTTAATGGCTGTCTATTCCTCTTTTTCTGATTGAACAATGGTACAGGCAAACATCCTAAAATTAATGCACCAACAAATTAGTTCCTAACAGGCATACTAATTAATAGTATATAATACAACTTGGACTTCTCTACTTTTATAAGTTTATTTTATATTTATTATGGATGTGTTTCTAGACTTGACTTTTAGATTCTTTTATAGATCTTGAATAGATTATCATTAAAACCTCCTTCGTTATTCCACCTTAACAGAACTTTAATTACCTTGTTTAGAAATAATTCTCATAACCTCTCATCCCTCAACTCTTTCCAAACCCAAATTTTATTTTATTGTATTCCTTATTTCCCTGGATGATCGCATATTATCATATCAACTGCAGGGGATGCTTCAAGTACACAGAACCACAAGGGAGAACAAATTTGACCTATGTATTCCAAAACCCAAAGCACTCTTTGGACTGTCTTAGCACATGCTTTTTGACTATTCTCAAACCTTTAAAAGGTTTGACTAGGATTTATCTGTATTTATGCTTAACATGCCCACTCCTACATCCACTCTCATAAATTATAATTGAACAGGTTTGGTTTGGAAGCTAAAACTATGCATTTAATAAGCACTCCAAGTATCTATAAAAAGCACTTATTTTAAATAAATGGAAGTCATAGATACAACTCAAACACATACAGTTTGGGTTTGCAAAAAGAACACTAGAGTAAATCCATTTAGTGATTCTGTCACTAAATGTTTTACCTTGAATAAGTATTTTTTATTTACTTGGCCCTAAAAAGTAAAGAAGCTAATTTTTATGGTCAATATTTTTAAAAGTTCTTTCCATAATGTTCCATCTATCAACTATATAACCTTAAGTGGTATAAACAAAAAATAATTTTTAATTAAAAGCTGTTAAATACCTGCTGTACTTCGAGTTGAATTTTCATTCAGATTTCTCTTCATTTCCTTCAGTATCAAAGTTTATCACTTTTTCTTCAGCACTTCAAATTTACCACGTGAAATTGTTTCACTAAACCATAAAAGAAATTTGTAACTCAACAACAAAATCAATTTCTCAGTCTAGCAAATGTCTGAAATCTTAGTTTAAAATAGGGTTTAACACCTGATATTAATGGAGGATAATGTTATGGAGGAATGAGTAACTTGCTTACTGAGTAAGAATTAAAGATAATCATTTTTTCCAATTCTGTTCAAAATAAGTTAGGACTAAGGTGTTATAAGCCTGCTTCCTTAATACAGATTTCCACAAAGTCTATGTAATTTATTTCAGAGTCAAGAAACCTCAGTGTGACTAATTCCAAACTAATCTATAAAGAGGGAAACAGACTACAACAACACTGGTAAACTTCCATTCTTAAAAAGCCAAGAAAGAAATACACACAACTGAACTAGCTATGTGAGAACATGCTGTGCCTCAGTACTAAGCCCTGGCCCTGCATTATGTAATGCCGAAGACAAAGACCTCACTTAGTGTCAAGAATGACTGTCATAAATTTCCAGGCCATTTCTGTAACTGCCATTATCGACACAAGACTTTTCTTTCTTTTATAGCATTTCTGTTGTGACTTTTTCTAAATTTAACCTTGTAGCAGAGTTCCACTCCAATTTATTTCAACACACACTTAATCTACTGCATGAAAAACCAAGCTACACTGCGATACCTAAATTAGATCATTTGTGCTCCCAAACTCACCTTCTAATGAGCACAACTAGTAATATAAATCCGACTGAAGGAAGAATCAATTTCCAAAAAAAAAAAATCACTTGCAGAAATAAAACTTGGGGAACTGCCCCTTTGTTTCGCTATGTGGGGTATGAAGTCGGATACAATAGGCCCTTTAGAAAATATTCTTGATGTCATTCTCAAAACCAAAACCCTTTTACTTAGCCCAGAAATGCCGGAGCAAGGGTAACTACGATTCTAAGTATCATGTAAACCAAGTAAAAGTACAGTGAGTTGCCTGATCACCCGGCCTGGGGGTAGCGATGCTGAGTTGCCCCACCGCGTTTCCAATTGGACCCGTAAGGCGTTAATGCAATGGGTGGCATAGAGGTGCAAACCGTTTTCCCCCCATTGCAAGCAAACACATGCACTCACTCACACACAAAACCTCCGCCCCCCAAAGAACACTGCCTCAGATGAAGGCCACGAGGCCTAAGTCAGGGCCTCTTGGGGGCGGGGCCCTCCAGTCACGGGCCCCGTTCTTTCCCAAGATGTCTACTGACGCAGAGCTTGGGCAGTTTGATAACCAGGAGCAACACACAACCCTCCCCTTCTTGGCCCTCCTGTCCACATGACACGCAACTCTAGCTCTTAGCTTTCCTGGCTTCCCTCAATCTTCAACCGTCGCGAGGACAGTCCAGTCAGATATCACCGACCTTCCCGCTGCGGAAAAAAGGCGGGAAGTCACGTTCTACGCATGCGCGCCTGCAATCCCACCGCCCACCGCGCAGGCGCACAGGCATCCTGCTCGCCCGATGGAGCGTGGACGCCATGGCGTCAGCCCTTCTCCTGACAGCCAGGAAAAGACGCTTGCGCCCAGTGTCGGGATCCATAACTTTAACACGCCAACATTTACACTCTCTCACAGCCAGGTATGCCGCACAGGGCTGGCCCAAGGGGCGAGACTATCTGGTTTCCTGCCCCACCATCCTCTGACCGAGCTTGGTCCGAAAAGTTGTCGAGGTCCGGTGGCCCACCCCCAGCCCCACACGCGGAGGTCATGTTTTTAGATTGTAAGATGCTTGTGGCAGCCTGGCGTGTGTGATTTAAAAGCCACTGGCCTCAAAACTGAGTCCTTGGCATGTTGCATGGTGGTGCTGAGTGTCTGAGGCAAGCCAGCGGTGCTTGAGCATTGCCAGGAAGCCAGTGGGACATCCCGCTGACAGCCCTGGGGCGCGAAGAGCAGCAGGTCATCAGTAAGCTGGGGGCCAGCACGGTCCGAGCTCTGGGAGGGAAAAGCATGTGTCAGGAACCTGAGACCCCCGCAGAGGGGGCAGAATGGTGCGGTGACCCCAAGCTCCAGTTCTTGGGGCGCTGGACTGGATTGCTATCCTTTTGATAGCAGGCAAGTTCTTTATCCTCTCTAGACCTACATTTTCCTCTTCAGCAAAGGGGCGATAACAGCATTTAATGAGTTGTCCTAAAGTATTAAAGAATGAGCAGTCCTTGCAAACAGTAAATGCTTAACAGATATTAGCCATTACTAATACTAATACTGTTACTAAGTAACAGTAGCTGCGCTTCACTCAGTACTTAATGCAGATCAGGGATAGCAATTCTAGTTTTGTTGTTGCCATCTCGTGTGACCTTTTGAGAGGCTTTGGGAATCTTTTGATGGCTGAAATAAATAAAGGGAAGAGGTGAAGGCACAGATCGAAGGGAATTTAGCAGTAAAGACCTAAAACCATGAGCCCCTGAGATGATTTCTTTGATGATCATTAGGTCAAAAAAAGGAGAGGAATACTGAGCCCAAAGATCAGAGAACCTTGAACACCACACTAAGAAATAAACTTTACAAGAGTAAGCATCTCTAGTTAATTTGACAAAGACCTTGAACAACAATATATTTCAAAAGACTTGTATTCATCATGGTTTCAGAGAGAGTTTTGTTGCTGTTTATCAAATGAGCAAAAGCTTCATATACCTACACACCTCTGTATGATCAGCATTTCTGATCTCATCCCAAAAATAGATTTCTGATTTTAAAAAAAGTAAGCCTACTACAAACAATATCTTCTGCTACATCTGTAAGACTTGAATTTTTCCCTCCAAACGATCTTGGTAATATTTTCCTGTGTTTTTCTCTACTACCATCTGTGTATCCCCTTGTCCCTTTCTCTGCCCCATCCCTCTTAACCTAAGAGCCATCAGAATTTTTCTTGCTGTCCACTGGTTTTTGAAAGTGTTTTTACATCATCCAGTTGCCTGTTAGGTAATTTTTTTTTTTTCATCAAATTGCCTGCTATGTAAATGTTAGGTCATTTTCTTTTTTTTATCAATCTGATTTTACTGCACATAATTCTCGCAAATTCCTTTCATTTTGTTGAAAATTTCATCCTTTCTTATGGCTATATAATACCCCATGCTGAGGATATACCACATCTTCTTGACTCAATCATTGATTGGTCAACATTTAAGCTGCTTCTATGTCCTACCTGTTATAAATCATGCTGCAATGAAAATTATGGAACATATGGGGGTTTTGTTGATGGTTTCATATTCTTCAGATAGATGCTCAAGAGTGGAATTGATGGGTTGTATGGTATTTCCATTTTTTGTTGTTTTTTTTTTTTAATGATAAATCCAGGTTTTCATAATGCTTTCCATAATGGTTACACCAATTTACATCCCCACCAACAATGTAAAATAGGTTTCCTTTTCTCCACATGTGATTGGGGATCTTTTTAATATGTACCACTCAAAGGTAAGAGATGATATTTCATTCTGGTTTTAATCCATAGCTCTCAATGAACATTTTTTAATGTCTTCCTGCCTTCTGTATATCTTTGGTGAATCATCTGTTCATATCTGCTGCCCATTTATTAAGTGTTAATTTTTATTGTTGAAATACTGAGTTTTTTTTT